CCCCGCGCTGTCCCCGCACTGTCCCCGCACTGTCCCCGAGCTGTCCCCGCGCTGTCCCCGCACTGTCCCCGAGCTGTCCCCGAGCTGTCCCCGCACTGTCCCCAGGTGTCACAAGGTTCAGGAGTCGCTGCTGAGCTCGGCCAGCGGTTACAGCAACTACCGGGGGGTGCTCAACTGGTGCGTCGTCATGCTGGTGAGTCGCGACAGTGCCCCCCCCGTGTCGCGATTGTCCCCCCGTGTCGCGACAGTGCCCATTGTCCCCCGGTGTCGCGATTGTCCCCCGGTGTCGCGATGGTACCCCCCACCCCCTTTGTCGCGACAGCCCCGCCCAGATCGCGGCGCCTTCCGGGTTAATGGGCGTGGCCGGTGACGTCACTGAGGGCGGGGCAGCGCCTTCCTGTCGCGATAGTCGGGGGGGGCATTAAAAGGTGACGTGGCTGAGGTGACATCGGGGGGACATTGAGGTGACACTGAGGTGACACTGAGGTGACACTGAGGGGACACTGAGGGGACACTGAGGACACTGAGGTGACACTGAGGACACTGAGGTGACACTGAGGACACTGAGGGGACACTGAGGGGACACTGAGGTGACACTGGGGTGACACTGGGGTGACACTGAGGTGACACTGAGGGGACACTGAGGGGACACTGAGGACACTGAGGGGACACTGAGGGGACACTGAGGACACTGAGGTGACACTGGGGTGACACTGAGGTGACACCGGGTGTCCCCATTGCTGTCCCCAAGGGGGGTCCAGAGCCCTCCTGGCTCTCAGGGTGACCCCAGGGTGACACTGGGGTGACACTGAGGTGACACCGGGTGTCCCCATTGCTGTCCCCAAGGGGGGTCCAGAGCTCTCCTGGCTCTCAGGGTGACCCCAGGGTGACACTGGGGTCCCCAAGTGACACCGAGGTGGCACCAGGGTCCCTGTCCCCACGGTGTCCCCGCGGTGACCCTTGCCCTGGTGTCCCTGTCACCAGGTGCCACCATCCCTCGGTGTCACCACCCCTCGGTGTCACCACCCCTCGGTGTCACCATCCCTCAGTGTCACCATCCCTCAGTGTCACCACCCCTCGGTGTCACCATCCCTCGGTGTCACCATCCCTCAGTGTCACCATCCCTCGGTGTCACCATCCCTCAGTGTCACCATCCCTCAGTGTCACCATCCCTCAGTGCCACCATCCCTCAGTGTCACCATCCCTCGGTGTCACCACCCCTCAGTGTCACCATCCCTCAGTGTCACCATCCCTCGGTGTCACCATCCCTCGGTGTCACCACCCTGGTGACACAACAGCCCCGGGGGTGGTGGCACCGAGCTGGGGTGACACCAGGGGGGTCCCCAAAAGGGACAGCCCTGTCCCTGTGGTGTCACCTCCGTGTCACCTCAGTGTCACCTCGGTGTCATCTGTGTCCCCTGGGTGTCACCTCAGTGTCACCTGTGTGCCACCGGTGTCACCTCAGTGTCACCTAAGTGTCCGCCATGTGTCCCCTGTGTGTCACCTGTGTCACCTGTGTCCCCTGGGTGTCCGCCATGTGTCCCCTGTGTGTCACACCTGTGTCACCTATATGTCACCTTGGTGTCCGCCGTGTGTCCCCTGGGTGTCACCTGGGTGTCGCCCGAGTGTCACCTCAGTGTCACCTCAGTGTCACCTCAGTGTCTGCCGTGTGTCCCCTGTGTCACCTGTGTCCCCTCAGTGTCCCCTGGGTGTCACCTGGGTGTCCCCCCTGTGTCACCTGGGTGTCCCCTATGTGTCCTCTGTGTCACCTCAATGTCCTGTGTCCCCTGGGTGTCACCTGTGTCCCCTGTGTCACACCCATGTGTCCCCTGGGTGTCCCCTCAGTGTCCCCTGTGTGTCACCAATGTCACCTCAGTGTCCCCTCAGTGTCCCCCGTGTGTCCCCTGGGTGTCCCATGTGTCACCTTGCTGTCCCCTGTGTCCCCCGTGTGTCAC